CGAACTTCCGATTACAAGATAACTGAGCCTTGGCAATGCAATGTACAGCACAGCGACTACAGTTGACAACACTCTATTTACAGATGACCCTGAACTGTGTGAGTCCACTTACTAATACACAGATGTTTTTCAATAGTAAATACTACAGCACAACATAGTTTGCAGTAGATTGAATCAATGGATGCAGAACCACAGGTACAGAAGGACCGAATATACAGAGGGCCAACTATAAGTTATGCATGCATTTTTCGACTATATAGAGTCAGCAGCCCTGACCCATGTGTCATTCAAGGGTCAGCTGATTTAAAAGTTGCTAAGAGAGTAGATCTTAAAAGTTCTCATCACAAGAAAAAAAAATTAGATATTAACATTGTAATCATTTTGCAGTATATACATAAAATCCTCATTTTGTATACCTAAAACTAATACAATGTTTATGCCAATTTTATCTCAGTTTTTTTAAAAAAGGTTGCCGTCTTCAGAGACATCTCTAAGTCATGCCAGAGTAACAACAATGGGACTTCTTTCCATAAACAACTAGAGAAGCAGACAACACGTATGGAAACTGTTTTCCAGACATTAGACAACAGGCAGCACAAGGCTGTAATCCCGGGGAGGTGGGGAGGCTATATAATCATCCAGCTCTCTGCACGGAGGCAATATCCAGCCTACAGACCCAGGGAAAGGGATGCCCAGACAGAGCCTGGCAACCTTGCTGAGATGAGGAGACACTGAGATCAGAGTTTGGGGAAGTTGAGGTGGTTGAAAATTGCCGAGTTCCAGAAAGGAATCAAAACAGGGGTCCCCTAGACTCTTCGCTGGGTACTTGGCTGCACGTGAGTAGAGGGTCAACTCTACAAAACCAAGTAACTAGGGAATTCATGGCAAACCGCAATTCCCGGTGCTCACACAGGATGGGAAACCAGCGTGAAGAGTTCTCAGTCATCACCCAGGGTATACTATAGGGAGCGAGACCACCGAGGGGTCATGCCTCAGTAGGAAGCCAAAACAGAGTGAAAGGTACTTTAGCTTAAACCCACCCTAGCAAAGGTGAAAGCAGAATTCGAGGAAATCAAACTGATCTGCAAATAACTGCCAAAACAAAGTTAAATATTCTGTTAAGTAAATAAAATCCAGATTCTCACAACATAGCACCCACAATGTCCTACATCTAAAAAAAAAAAAAAAATACTAGACATGCCAAGAAGCAGAAAGTGGAACGTAACTAGGAGAAAAGACAGTCAATAGGGAAAGGCCCGGAAATGACAGGGAACATAGCGGCAGCAGATAGCGATATTAAAACCGGATTTTGTACAAGTATTTAAAACGTGACAAATGGAAAATATTCTTTAAAATAACAAAGAACTTCTAGAAATAAAAAATAGGTGCAATGCAAATTTAGCTACATAAATTAACAGATTAGACAATGCAGAAAAAAAAAGTGAAATTGAAGATCTCGCAATAAAGTCTATCCAAAATATACTACAATATACCTATCCAAAATATAGCATAGAGACAGCACTGGAGAAAACAGAGCATCAGTGACATGCAGAATTGTATCAAGTGGAAATCTCTACATATCGCCACCCCGCAACACTTCACATGCACCCCTCAAGAAGGAAGGGGAAAATATTTTGAGGAAAAAGCCAAGATTTTCCAAATTTGATGAAAACTAAGTTGAGCCAACTTTAAATGGCTCTCCATGGCTACAGTAGCCTGAATAATAGCCCCCAAAGACACCAGGTTCTCATCCCTGGAATGTGCAAACATTTCCTTAGGTGGCAAAAAAAGTATTTGCAAATGTGATTGAAAATCCTGGGGTGGCCCAAGTATAGGATAACATGGGTCCTAAATGCAATCCCATGTATCTTTATGAGAAGGATGCAAAAGGAGATTTGACATACAGGAGAAAGTGAAGTAGCATGACCGTGGAGGTACAGATTGGAGTGATGGGACTATAAGCCAAGGAATGCGGCAACCACCATAAGCTAGAAGACAAGGAACAGATTCTCCCCTAAAATCTCCAGAGGAAACTTGGCCCTGCCAACACCTTGACTTTGGCCCAGTAAAACAGATTTTGGACTCCTGGCCTCCAGAACTGTGAAAACAATACATTTCTGCTATTTTAAGCTACTAAATTTGTGAGAATTTGGTACAGCAGTGATAGGAAAACACATTAGCCAAAGATGAAGCATTTTGAGCATCATCAAAATAACAGTTACAGTGAACCACACCGTATAAATTATGTGTTTGGACAATTCTAGAGTTAAAAATGAATACACATAAATTCATTTGACATTGGTAATCAATTCATTGTTCTGAAAACTGATAAAAGGAAACAGCTGTACTTCAGAGTAACAATACAGTTGATAAGGTGAAGTTTTGTTTTATAAAAAATTTTAAATGAAGGATTTGTAGAATCAGGATACCACCATTTTTCAATTTGTTATGAAATAATAGAACTAAGCAATGATAATCAATGGCTACTAAAATGGTTACTTGAAAGGTTATGGTAAATTTATAAGCAAGCTTACAACTTCCAAATTCCACAGTTCAATCCCAACATTAAAAGAAAGAAAGAAAGAAAGAAAAACCAAAGACAAAACAGATATATGTACCTCCTGATGTGATGCGAAAGGAAATACAAAATACCTACCATGAAATTTTCTTGACAAAAATTCAAACCTGAATCTGAAGCTTCTAAATCGAAGTACCAGTTTACAAGAAGTACTGGGGAGAGAGGAATATGGTAAATAATACTGTTGGGATCCTATTAGCAGAATTCAAATATGGGGAACTCTTGGAAAAAAAACCTAGCTTATTCAACAAATTGCCAAAAAAAAAAAGAACCTATAATTAAGAGATGTGAGAGATTTACCAATCCAAAGTGTCAAATAATCCACTGCAGAACCCAATATGACACAATGGGGGAAATTAAAAACCATTTGGAATTTGATTAAATTAAGGAATTGATACTATTTTAGGTATGGTACAGTTGGCTGACTTCTTAAAATATCTATTACTAATCTTAATTTAGGGATACATACTGAAGAATAAATGAATGAAAAAATATGATATATGGGATTTACTTCAAAATAGCCCAGTTGGGGCTGGAGAGTTAATGAGTGTAGATAAAACAAGACTGGTCAGGAGGTGGGAGTTGCTGAAACTGGATGACAGCTCCCTGGGAGTTTCAGGACGCCATCCTGTCTGCCTTTTGTGTATGTTTGAAGACTTCCATATTAAAGTTTCTTTTTTAAAAAATCTTTATTTCTTTTAAAAATATCTTCTACAGATCCTCATTACTTACGGATAAAGTCCGAACTGCTTGACAAGGTTGAAGCAGAACAGGGGTTTTCAGCAGCCTGGCCATATTCTAGGCTCACCTTCACCTGCCCCCATTTCCAGCTGCCTCCTCTTTAGCTACAAGACACTAAGGTCAGTTCCCCGAACACACCCTGTGTTTTCACACATTTAGTAATCCCATTTGCCTACCTGGAAAACCCTTCAGCACTTCCATCATTTGGTGAACTCCATGGCCCAGTTCAAATGTAACTGTTTCTTTAGATTCTTTTTTTTTTTTCTTATTTAAGTATGGTCAGTTACAATGTGTCCATTTCTGGTGTACAGCACGATGTCCCAGTTACGCACACACATACATATATTCGTTTTCACATTCTCATTAAAGGTTATTATAAAATATTGAATATAGTTCCTTGTGTTATACAGAAGACATTTTTAAAATCTATTTATATATATAGTGGCCAACATTTGCAAATCTCAAACTCCCAAATTTATCCCTTCCCATCCCCTTTCTCCAGTAACCGTAAGATTATCTGTTTCTGTTTTGTAGAAGAGTTCATAGTGTCTTTTTTTTTAGATTCCACATATGAGCGATCTCATATGGTATTTTTCTTTCTCTTTCTGGCTTACTTCACTTAGAGTGACGATCTCTAGGTCCATCCATGTTGCTGCAAATGGCATAATTTTATTATTTTTAAAAGCTAAGTAGTATTCCATTGCATAAATATACCAAAACTTCTTTATCTGGTCATCTGTCGATGGACATTTAGGTTGCTTCATATCTTGGCTATTGCATACAGTGCTGCTATGAACATTAGGGTGCATGTATCTTTTCGAATTAGACTTCCCTCGGGATACATGCCCAGCAGTGGGATTGCTGGGTCATATGGTAAGTCTATTTTCAGTCTTTTGGAGAATCCCCATACTGTTTTCCACAGTGGCTGCACCAAACTGCATTCCCACCAGCAGTGTAGGAGGGTTCCCTTTTCTCCACAGCCTCTCCAGCATTTATCGTTTGTGGACTTTTAAATGGTGGCCATTCTGACTGGTGTGAGGTGACACCTCATTGTAGTTTTGATTTGCATTTCTGATTATTAGCGATACTGAGCACTTTTTCATGTGCCTATTGGCCATTTGTATGTCTCCACTGGAGAATTGCTTGCTCAGGTCTTCTGCCCATTTTTGCACTGGGTTGTTTGGGGGTTTTTTTGTTGTTGTTATTAAATTGTATGAGCTGTTACTATAGATCTTTAATTGACTCCTTGAAATAGAACTAATGCCTCACTTCAAAGCAATCCCAACACATCACAGACATGACACGCCAGTATACCCCTTATATCGTCCCATCATCAACCTCTCCCCTCCCCACCTCACCCAGATAGAATTCCATGGTCCATAATTATGAGCACTCCCTTTAACACAACCTGAACTTCTTTGCCCCTCTCTCATACTTGCTGGGATAAATGATAAAACTGATTAAATCCTACAGTACGCCTGCACTCTTGCAGGTGAACGTGGATGAGTGGCTGGTATCTTTTTAGACTCACTTTCCCTAATGTCAGTGGGTCCTTAATGCTGCCAGGCATTATTATTTCTTCCCTTGGTCTGGCTTCTTTTCCACTTTCCATTCTGCAACAATTATTTATATCTTTTCCTCTTTCCAAACCTCCAATATCTCTTCTCCCATACACATCTCATAAAATCATCTTGCTCTTTATTTCACTGAACAAAATAAAGGTAATAAAAGGAGAACTTCCAGGATATCCAAATGGCTAATAAGCATATGAAAAGCTACTTAACATCATCAGTCATTAGGGAAATACAGATTAAATCAGCACTCTGATACCACCAACAGCCACCAGAATAATTAAAATGACAAAACACAGATACTAATACCAGCAAGGAAATGGAGCACATGGAACTCTCACACCTTGCTGGCAGGAGTTAAACTGGCAGATCATTTAGAAATTATAGGACAGTATTTACTAAAGGCAAACGTGTATACATTATGGCCCAGCAACTTCACTCCTACACATTTACCCAATTGAAAGGTATACATATGTTCTCTTTAAAACATTTCAAGAAGGTTCATAGGAGCACAATTCATAATGGCTCAAAGCTGAAAACAACCCAAACGTTCATCAGCAATAGGATGAGTAAACTATGGTAGCTTCATAGGTGGAATATTACACACCAGTGAAAATCATTGTGCTGTTCCTACACACAACCTAGATGAAACTCATATTGGCGAGTTTAAGGAGCCATAAACAAAAGGGAACACAGTACTTTCAAAAAAAAATCAAAAACAGGCAAAAGAATCTATGGTGTAGTTACTGGACTGAACTCAGGCCCACTCACCACTCACCATTTTGTAAGCAGCAAACCCAATCTACTAACAGCAGATTGCCATAAAGTCAAGTACAGTATTTATTTGCAGGGTGCCAAGCAAGGAGAACAGGAAGCTAATGCTTGGGTCAAAAGACCCAAACTCCCCAATGGCTTTTGGGTAAAAATTTTTAAAGGCAACATTAGGGGTCACAGGATGCATGGTCAGCTCATGGACATTCTTCCTGATTGGCTGGTGGAAAGGCAACAGGGTGAGGTTTGGGGAATCTTAATCATCAATCTTCTGGTTCCAGCCAGTCTGGGGTCTATGAGCTTGTGATGCACCAAATGGAGGGGTCTCAGTTTCTGCAGAACAACTCCAAGATATGTGTTAGGTTGTTATCTAGATTCCTTTGGGATGAACTAGGAGTCCTGTGACTGTTTTCCAAGCTCTTTCCTTTGCTCCTGCATTTTCCACTTCTCCGATCATTAACTGTTTGAGTCCGCTTTTGGGAACTTCAAGAAGGCCTAGGAAAGGAAAGCTTTTTCGATCAACAAGAACCGGGGACATGGAACGGCTTATACCCAGGAGGGCCCCGCTGGTTCCGCTCAGTGTCAGTGTCAGGACAGTGGTTATCTTCACCGCAGCTCGGGGAGTAATCTGGAAGGAACACAGGAGCCCTCTGCGTGGCTGCTAATGCTCTGTTTCTTGATCTGGGTTCTAGTTACACAGGTTTGTTCACTTTGTAAAAATTATTGAGCTATATACTTGTGATTTTTGTACTTTTCTACATGGATATTATACCTAAGATAAAATGTTAGTTAAAAAAGAAAAATAGAATTCCACAAACCACCACATTGACCCATCTATGTGCATGTGAGCCCACCGACCCTGCCTTCACTCCTGTTACTGTGGGCAAACTGTCGTTCACACTTCCATCAGACAGGCCCTTTCTCCCATGAACTACATCATTACCACGTCTTCTTCACCAAGAGTCACTCTTTCAAGTATCCTGTCTCATTCCTTCACTTTTTCCTCTTGACTCGATCCTTGCCATCAACCTAATTTTTAAGACAAACAACCTTCAATTACTGTATTTTTGCTTTAAGCCAAGCAAAGGAGCGTAAGACTCAAAAGTTGTCTATACTTGTTGAATCCAGCTTTGTTCTCACATTCTCTTTGAACCACCTCCAGCTGTGTTCTCACCTCCACGCTGCACAGAAGCTGATCTTATCAAGGTCACCTCCACATTGTTAAATGCCATAATCACTTCCTCCTCCTCATCTTACGTGATTCTCAAGTTTTGGCCATAGTCATCAACTTCCTCTTTGCCGAATCACTCTCCTTTAGGCTTCTAGAATACTACATACTGTTTTCCTTCTACTACGCTAGTCACTCCTTTCCCACTTTCTCTTGTCGGTTCCTCCTCACCTCTGTGACCTCTGCATTTTGGAGAGCTCCCAAAACTCATTTAGGAGCCTCTTTTCTCTGTGTTCACTCCATTGGGATTCTCATCCAGTTTCCCGGCTTTGCACAATCTCCAAAATGACGAACACCAGGTAAGTGTCTCCAGTCCAGATCTATCTCCTGAACCCAGACTCCTGTCACATTCATCTCCTCGGCATCTCTCCTTAGATGTCTAACAGGCACCTCGAGTGTTCTATGTTCAAAAGCGAACTCCTAATCCTCCCCTCAAGAAACTACTCTTGCAGTTTCCATGTCTTGGTTAATGGTAACTCTGTCCGTCCAACTTATCATCAGGGCAAAATCCTTGAAGTCATTCTCGACTCCTCCACTGCTCTCAGAAAGAAACTCAATCTGTCAGCAAACCCTCAAACTTCCAAGCATTTCCAGGATTGGACCACTCTCACCATGTCTACTGCTGCTGCCCTGGCTTACACCACTATCATCAGTGCTGAGATTATGACCACAACCTCCTGACTGGCCTCCCTGCTTTCACCCTCGCCTCCCAGTCTGTCCTCAACGGAGCATTAAAATGCTCATCAGATCATGTCAGTCCTCAGCTCGAAACCTGCCAGTGGCCTAAAGTGTCACTCAGGGAAGACAAAAACCTATGTAATGGGTCACCAGGGCCTTCACAGTATCACCCCAACCCCACACTCTTCATCCTTCCTCCTCCCTCCTTTGCTCTGCGCCATTTACACCAGCTTCCTTGCTGTTCCTCACACATGGCCGGTGTGCTCCTGCTTCAGGGCCATACACCTCTCTCCTCCTGACCTAGAACGCTCTTCCCCCATTCATCCTCCTGGACCATTCCTGCATCTCCTTCAGATGTTCACTCAAATGTCGCCCTTTCAGTAAGGGCCTCCCTGACCACACCATTTAAAATTTTCCTCCCCTCCCCACTCTCCCAAGGTCTCCATCACTTCCTTCAATTTCGCTCTAGCACCTGTCTCCTTCTAACAAGCATATGCATTACTTATCTACTTAGAGCTGTTTTCCCACCAGTATGTGAACAACATAAGCGTGGGGATTCCTGTCTGTCTCATGGACTGCACTATCCCCAGTGTCAGGAACAATCCTGGGACATGTTAACAGCTTAGGCAGTATTTGTGGAATGGATGAATGAGTTACTTCGTTGCTTGTCATACACTCAAGCGTCATAGAGAAGCGGGCCATCACTTAGCTTTGTGATGAGCGATCGACTAAAGGGAACGAGAAGGAACAGATACGTAAGGCAGGTAATGGATTTAATTATTCTTTCCCTTTTTAACCCGGAAAATTGATCTCCCCGAATAAATTATGTCATCTGTTCCTAAACAAGGTTAACTGCCTTTCATTTCTGTCTTAAATTTTCAATCGATCAAGAGCAAAGATTACAATAGGCAGAATATGTGAAAATATAGTTATTAAAACAACATTCACCCATAGTCCACAAATCAAAAATAAAGGGGAAAGTCAAGCCTTGAGAAGTAATACAAACAGAGTTGCTCATTTCATTAATAAGATGTTTCCTTTCCAGAAAAAGGTTAAAGAAGCTGATATGACGCAGAGGAAAGGAAAAATCAACAGATGTGTTGGTTTAATCGCACGGTTTCTAAAATACACTAAGCAAACGGGGGAGAAATGTGACCCTTCTGATACGAAGACCTTACATTTGTTATTAAACAAAGAGTACTTCCTACTCACCCGAATGTATTTCTAGAGGAACTTTCAATGCTTGGGGGATTCCTGCAACTTCTTCCCCCAAGTGACAGCTTCACATTTTAATCTTTTTAGTTTGTTTTTATAAAAAGTTCTCTTTTACTGCACACAAAACATATAGAGAAAGTTGAGTATGAACCCAAAGACCCACGTTCTTTCCTCAGAACACCTGCACTCAGAAGCTTTTCTGCCCCCGGCAGCCCCCCTCAGAGGAGGACCGAGGCTAGTGGGCAGAGAGGTCCACAGCCACTGCTGGGAACGGACCTTGCAGGGCTCATCTGCTGAGAGTATCACTGGTCATTAGTCGCCCCCGTGGTGGGGCTGACAGCAAGCAGGGGAGGACTCAGTGTGCCAGTGCAGGGAAGTTGGTGGTGGCAGTGCCCATTACCAAAGGAGCACAACCTGACAAAGAGCAATCACTGACTTAGAAGATTCAAGGCGTCAGACACAGTGACGACTAAGTCAGAGCACATGGGTTGCAGGGAAAGCGGATTGTTGAGAGAAAACCTGATTAACTGAATCACAGAATGAAACACACTAATGACATCAGGACATATTATTGGGAACGTCATTCAAATTACACAAATTATTTTGGATATGAATCACTTTTCCAGAGCACACTGTATGTAGACCAGCTCTACTATATACAAGATATGCTCATCTGTTTATAAAGGACTTCTTTCCAACCACAGAAGAGAATGACTAGTAGCCAGTTGCCTGCAATTACCTGACAATTAGCTCTGGAGCTTTAGAAAGGAAACTGGTTCACTCGGTAATATTTGTTGGGCAGGTGCATGGAAGGGTGGGGCAGAGAGCACACACGCACGCACGCACACAAACTGTCTCCCCCCAAGGAAACGTATAAGCCACAACACCATGAACACTGACCATTCCGTTCACATACTTAAATAAGAGTCTAGACTCGAGAGGCATAAAGACAGAATAACCAGGCCTAGTTTATTCTTGTTACCCAATGTAATTATTAATACTACAGCCCCTCAACTAAAATCTGTTCCAGTTTGAACAATAAATTATATGGTGACCTTAGTAATGGTTACTGTATTCTTGGTTATGGAACATTAAGCTTTGGCTGTGAAGCTGGCAAAATTAGTGCTGTAATTTTCCCGTAAGGATATGGGTGGCCAAACTGGTCAAATCACCTCACCTTCCCCCTTAAAGTCATGAATCTGGATTTCAGTAATGAACGAATCAGCTGTGTTCCTCCATGTTCTTCTGAATCTGCCCCTTATGCAGCCTGCCATGATCATTCTGGAGCAATGGGATTCTCTGGCCAGCCTCGAGGGATCTTAAGTGTCACCAACAGTTATGAGAGAAAGTCTCAGTTTTATCTTACTTCTGGCTTACTAGACAAAAAGTACAGGTAAGGATTTGAATGAGAAGCTATTTATTTTTAAGTTAATAGTACAAAATAGAAGGCTCTCTTTCCATCAAAATCCCCTCCCCTCTACTAAGCCTAGAATTACTAGGAATGGCATTTCCAAAGAGTGGAAAAGCTGACACCAGGAATTCAGCTGAAATCCAGGGTCTCCTGCCACACTTCCCTCCCTCACTCACCCAAGTAGCTGGTTTTATTCTCAACTCTGAGAAAGTCAGTGGAGGAGCCACTGGAAGTGGGGTGAGCGAAGAATCAGCATTCACCCAGCGCAGTCATCTGCAGGGCAACAGACCGACTCACCCACACTCCAAGAGCAGTCCCCTTCCACCGGGGGATGCCGCGGATTCCAGAGCCCCGGTCTCCACCCCACAATGTCCCAGCACGTCCTGGGCATGTTTACATCTGTTCCTGCCCCTCGGGTAGCAGTTCTCTCAAGGTGTATCTCAGAGTTCAGCCCCATAGATGGCCTTATAGCGTAAATACTCTTCTAAGCACTGAAGAACATTATCATCCACCTTGGGGTCAAACTTGTTAGCCAAGAGGTGATGGTTCTGGAGAATCCAGTGCAGGTCCCCAGCCCCATAAACACAGACAGCCCGCTGGTGGATTCCAGAGCAAGGGGCATAAGGTGCCCCCATACTGATGTCTCCCTCGTGGTCTTGCCACTTGACCAGCCTGGCGATGGCCGTCATGTCTGAGATGTGAAACTTGGGGTGGAAGGGAACAGAGCCAGGCATCCATGGTGCACGCTGAAGGGTAGCCCAGAGGTGTTCATCGGGGCTATAGGTGTCTTTGGCCCATTCGATCAGCCGCTGGGATTTGGGGTTCTCTAAGACATGTTGGATAAAGCCTCGAGAAGCCACAATATAGGCATTCCCTGTGAACATAGGTAAATTATCAGGGGGAGGGTCCTTCATCTTGTTGGTTACTTGCAACGTGTCTGTCACTTCGTAGTGATATTTCCAGCGAGTCTTTTTGTACTCAGTAGGTATCTCTGACTCCATACTGTTCTTCCCATTCAACATCTTGAGGGCCAGGACCATCTCGGCATTGGTCTTTATAGGAAAGTCTGTCCCGCAGGTGTTCAGTAAGTATTTCCATGGCACCGGGCTCCGGAGCAAGTCTTCCATACAGTTCAGGTCAGCCTGCACCCTGGACCAGGAGGCGTAAACCACCCGAACCAATTTACTGGCCATGAAGACATTCGGGAAGCATGAAATAATGGACTTGACTGCCTCTTTGAAAGTTTCTGGGGACTTCTCATCCACGTGGACACAGTATATGTTCTGAGGGGCATACACAGCTCGCAGCAGCCTTTCAAAGTTTTCAACCTTCTCATGGACCACCATAGAGTAAGCGATGGGAAAGTCTAATTCTTCTCTGCTCAGTGGGAACCGTATGAACCTCCTTTTGGCCTTAAACTGCTCACAATCCCTGGTCATGTTGAGGTAGTCAGTGTCTGTGAAAGGCTCCCGCTTCTTCTTGACCTCCAGGTTGTCCAGGAGAGCCTTGATCACTGCTTCCTGGTCCCCTCGGGTGATCCCAGAACAGTTGATGGATCTCTTTGCTGGCAGTTTCAGGGACTTGTACAAGATGTCCTTACAGTGCTGGCTTTGCAAGTCCCTGGACTCCAGATCCAGGGAAACTACGTCACATTTCAGTCTGAGAGAAAGTCTCAAAGCAACAAGAGCCAGCAGCATATAGCAGCCCAAAGCCCACAGATGATGCCTCCGGCAGAATTTCTTCTTCCACCAAGTCATCTTCATGGAATGGGAGATTGGCAGAGTTTGTGCACAGGGAAGGAGGAGGATGAAATCCTTAGACAGAACAAAATGCCTTCAATTACAAACTAACCCTGAATGGGCTCAAGGAACATCAAGTTCAACTCCACAGTGATGGCAAAACCAGATTTCTTCTCTAGACAAGTATCCTCAGTCCAGATCCACCTAGGATCCTCGTACACCCAGCCTGCTGATGGAGTTCACTCACCTGACCCTACAAAGCTGATCGTGCCGGGGCTGGGATTAGGAGCCAGCTCCACCTCCAACCCGGGAGAGATAAAGGGAAGCGGAACTAAGTACCTGCTGCTGAAGAGGTGTAGTGAGTAAGAGCAAGGCCCTGCCTTCATTTTTCCTTTTTGCCCCCAGTGCCTTCCCACCCTGCTTCTAACATAGTTTTTATCTAGGAGCTAGAATGATCAGTCTAGAGAGAAAAATCCAGGAAATTCAGACTCTCAGCTTCAGTTCTAGAAATCCAAAGTCCTTTGAAAAGAACAACTGCACTTCTTGCTCCGATTAGATAATTCATATATTAAGATGCTTTCACCACATATAATTCATTGGTTAGATGTGGTATCTAGACACCCTTTAAAAAAAATGTTCTTACACAAGCACAAAAAATTGGATGTAATCCCCCCAAATACATTGTAATCATTCATATAGACAACTCTCAGTCTATTCAAATTTAAAATATATCCACACACACAGAGCTATGAATATGCAATACTTAATGAGTGCTTTTTTTTATAGGCCAGGAATCTTTCTCTACATTGTCCCATTATAATCTTCACAACATACCTGAAATATAGTATTATTAGGCGTCTTTTGTAGAGAGGAAAATAGAAGCTAAATAACTTGCCAAATATCACAAACATTATAAGACACAAATCTGGGACTCTTCCATGCTCCCAATTCCTCTTTTTTTTTTTTTTTGTCTAGAAGCCTAATACTTGTTCCTCCAAACCACAGCTACCTTTTAAATACAATACAAGGTACTTAGTACCATCCAAGAAAAGCAGACATTAAAGGGGGAAAAAAATCCCTAAAGGGAGAGAAAGACACCAAAACATGACATATCTTTCGAGCAATGATTGTTCTCCCTTTTTGCAATCTCTTTGGAAGCTTAAGATTGTATCCTCTTTAGTAATAACTTTCAGAGGAATCTGAGAGGAAGGAAAAAATGAAAAATTAAGGAAATTCTCACCTTTAAGAGCTTTTTTCCTGTTTAGGGAAGATCTCTTGCCACGATGTGTTCCTCTTCCCAAAGAAAGATTGGTTGGATTCCGTGGAAGCAAATGTGAATACCATATTCTCTGGTCTTCTTTCAGCCTCTCCAAAGTACATTTTCTAATATTCCCAGCATGTCCAGGAAACCGTATCAGGCTCCTCCTTAATTTCTGCAAAGCAAAGAGCAGCAGGAGGCTCCATCACTCACCTTTGGACTTCCTGCTCTCAGATAAGAGAAAGCAAGCTCAGCTATGTCATCCAGGGCATATTCTTGAGAACAAGTCATCCTGGGAGGTGAGCGAGGCAAGAAAAAAAAAAAAACCACGCTGACAATGTCTCAGAAGGCAAGCAGCTGTTTCATCCAGGACCGCCCAGTTTGTACCCAAACTCTCCTGCCACAAAACCATTTATAAAAACCTGCCGATGCTCATTCTAGAACCTGAAGGCTTTTTCCCCCTTAAGAAGGAACCACAGAAACACACAGGTATGCCCCTGCCTTCTTTTGGCCTGGAGTCCAAATGTCACTCCTTTTACGTTCCCTTAATACTCCCTGAACTTCACTCGAGAGGGAAGCAATAAAAATGATCTTCAATGACTGTTTCTTTTGTTTTCTTAACGGAAAGAGTCAGTGAAAACCAGAGTTCATTCTTCGATGGCAACTGTTCAAAAAAATTCATTTGTCTGCCTTTCCGTGACTGTTACTAATCCGTAGGTTGCAGAAATATCCTGGGGGTTTCAAACTGTAGAGCTCCTTCCCTAATGTCTGCGAGTCCAGGGCTCCCGGCAGTCTGAAGAAAGGACAACGCTAAAGGCGGCTGGACTTCAGCGGGAGCCCCATGGGGGGTTGTGGCATTGCAGCGTGGAAAGTGCCTCCTTCAAAACTGCTGACACTGTTTGCCCCTATTCGCCTCTCCGCCTCGCCCCCAAAGCACCCCTCCAAAAATGCAGCATTCCTGGCCAAACATTTAAAATAACAAATTTAATAACTGGATGTAAAGAACTTAACTAGATATGAAGTTGTTAAGTAGCTAACGGAAAGTTGGCAGCGGGTGTAGATGATGCTCAATTATTAGAGAAGTAGCCACTGCTAGGAGCTACCATCCTGAGGCTGGAGGAATGAGGGGCAAAGCCGGGAAGTGCTAAACTGAGAATATGAGAAGGGTGCCAAGAAGCGTAAACTTAGGCCTCTGAGAGGGGACTTCTCAGTTGGTGCTGGGGTCTCTGAGCTCAGAGAAGGGTTGCGATCCCCTAGACTGAGACCCAGACCTCTCCTGAGCAGCTGCTGTCTGTCCTTCGTCACTGTAAACTGGCTTCAGGGCCGCTACGTAAGCGAACCGCCACCGCGGGGTTGTTGCCATAGCGCTGCTCATAGAAGCAGGAAGTAGACGGGAAGCAGACAGGAAGTCCCGCCTCCAGCCTCTCTGTCGCCCTCCGGCGCCCCCTGTTGGCAGAGCCGATAGGGGGCAGCTGGCCAAGCACCAACGTGGTTTGCAGAGTACTCCCCACCCCCGCTGCACGTCAAAGCTGAGTCCAGGAGGGTGGACTTTATCTGCACAATAGCATATGATGGAGATGAGTTAGTGTTGCCTTCTTCCTACAAGAACTGTTTATGCAGCCCCCAATATGGCGTAGGGCATTTATGTCTTTTTTCTTTTTTGGACCTCCTCTGCCTGTGTCTGACTATAGAGAAAGACAGGCCAATAGCAGGGAGCCATAAGGGGTCTCTTTTATTGGCACCACTCCACGGGCTCTGTCTTCTGCCAGCTTCTGTCACTCAGATTCTGTGTGACTGTGTTGAGCTGTAAAATCTGAGGCAAAAATGATTACAGGATAAACACTCACTCCAGTATCTGAATCTAGAGGAATCTTTCCGATTTGTTTATATCTTACTTTTCTTTGATGGCCCCCTCGAAGTCCCACCTTCTTTCCCATAAAAATCACACCCCAAAGTCTCTCAATAAAAAGAAAATAGTTTGAATATTTGATACTTAAGGTAACCAAAACAGGTATCCACTCTTATTTGCTAAATGTGTGCTACTATAACATTAACAAATTGTGGCTCTGTTTGGCTGAGATAATCTATATATTAGTAACACGAAGTGGGTAACAGTTATGAGCACACCTGGGCTTTGACAGGACAGAGCTAGGTCTGAATCCTGGCTCTGGTACTTTCTAACTGTGGAACCATGGGCACATTTTGCAATGTCTCTATGCTTCAGTGACTTCCTGGGTATAACTGGGGCTAATACTATTCCCTATTTTATAGGATTGTTGTGAAGCTTAAACAAGATAACACATACGAGACACAACTTCAAACCCGGCATATGTGGCCCTTCAAAGAAGGTTACTGTTAGGGAGGCTCCAGTGATAGGCTACAAGGACCTGATTTACTCCCAGAATAGCTCAAAGAGGGGACAAATAACATTCTTTAACTCTGGATCAGCAAGAGTGTTGATGCTGGCGATGTGACCAGATGGGTAGATCAGGGAGGAGACCGGCATTAGCCCCTACTCTGGGCTCCAGAAAGAGACTCAGTTATAAGTGGTGGATGTTAGCACCGCAGAGAGGAGGGTGAGCTGCTGCTGGCCCCAGGGAAGTGCAGGAGAGGGAACACAAGGGCTGGAAAGAGGCCCCGGGAGATCAGGAGCCAGGCAACCTGTGGAAGTCACAATGCAGCCGACCTCGCGCCCTCCCTCCACACTGGCCTCGAAGAGATGGTGGGGTCCTGGGAAGAGGCAGGAGCCCAGGCCCAGCATGCCTGGGGACCAGGTAAGTTTCCAGGCAGGAACGAAGACCCAGGGAATGAGTCCCTTCATGAGGGCTTCTTTTTGCCCTGCTGAGGCCCGACAGAGCCAGATGGTCCTGGAGGCAAATGTAACCATGAGTCCAGGATGCCATGAAGATGTTCACAAGTCCCAAGCACTGAAAATGCTGAGGGCATGCACCTCCCTCCAGTATGGAAAGCGAAAGCAACATCAGGCCACATAATAAGCCCAACACAGTCCAGAGTTCCCGCCACGACGAGCACCACGGCGCTGTTTCTGAAAGAGCCAACTCTTGCTGCTCAGACCCCTCGTCCTTTTCTCCTAATCACAACTTCAGTTGGCTTATCTGGCAAATAGCTTTGCCTGCTTCCTCTGAGTTTCGAGTTATAAATCCCTGTATGTTTGTGAAATGGTCTGAGAGTTCCAGCAGTGGGGAGCAGAGACACAAAGCCAGGCTCCCTGAGGTAGATCTGGAAGAACCCAGTGGAATGAACATTGATGGAGGCACTGGGAACCCTGCAGCCCCCACAACAGGGTCAGAGGAGGGCCCAAGCAGCAGGGATCTAGCCATGTTAAGCTGAATTTACAAACTGGCAGATGCCCCCCTTTACTTATTATGGTGGTGTTTACCTCTAGCATGTGTCACTCTCGGCTTCTCATTGGACTGGAAGCTCCTAGAAGTCATGTTCTTTCTCTCAGCACCCAGCGCAGTAGGCATTAGGAGAACTTTAGGAGAACCCTGGAGAGCAAGGTTGCATGCGGTCATGGGTTGCACAGGCATCCCTACTAAGAAGAAGACGCCGTGGCTCAGAGGGGCAGGAAGTAAAAAGAGGTAAGCCAGCCAAGTTACTGTGCTACTGATGGGCTGGAGCTGGGCTTTGAAAGAGACCCAAGGGACTGAGGAAGATGGGGTGGGGGTGCTTGAAGCCCTAACTTTATTTCGTGTTCTGTATCAGTAGGCTCTTGGAGAAGATGAGCTATCAGCTCTGGCCACAGAGAAATGGTTAAAAGACTCAATATGATCATCTTTCTCTCCAATCAGGGATGAAGAACGCACTCCTGCGGGCTGGCAGGCCGGCCAGGGGAGCACTCAGTCCCTCCGCGGAGCTCCACTCCCTCCGGGCACCCAAAGCTCTCTCTTCCCCTGGACACACTCCACACAACCCTGAGCGAAAGAAAAACAAAGATTCAAGAAAGAAAAGAAAAAAAGAAGAGAAAACCCCACAGAACTCAGTGAGTTCACTAAATGCAGAGGAAACTTCTGAGCGGAGGCAAGAAAACCATCTCCTTCAGAGGCAAGAATCCAGCTCGTTCCTCCCTGCTCCTCATGTTCCAAGGCGGACGACTTGCTAAATTATCAAGGCGGCCACTTTCCCTTAACACCTCCCTCCCTTCGGGTGATGCTCCACCAAGGCCGTGGGCCCCACTTCTCAGCACCGCAGACTGAGGGGCGGCCACAGCAAACTTTCTCTTCAATTTTTTAAAAAGCTATTTTAGAATCATCTGAGGAAACACAACCAAATAGTGCTCTCCTTGACTGTGGAAATCAACCACGCTTTTTCTTTCTTTAACCTCTTTGCAGGTCTTTGTGAACACATCCAGTCATTTTCTTGGGAAAAGTAGGATTGTGAGTGGGTGTGTGTGCATGCATTTATGTCTAACTGAA